TGATTTCCTTCCTAGATCTTCGTTCGCGAAGCCAAGCCATGATGATGTGATGACAATTCCTCTCCAAGGCACAGATCTCCCGGCATCCTCATCGCCCGTCCTGTCAGCATTTCAAAAGGAGATAAGGAATGTGAGTTAGTAGGACTGGCTCTCAGACATAAGAACCGCTGGTAAGCTGGTGACCCAGTCTTTCCCTGTAAGAGAAAACATCTGTTTGGTTAGTTTGTTTTTAATGGTTCGGTTAGCGCTCTCTACTAGTCCCGAACTCTGGGGATGGTAGGGACAGTGAAATTTCTGTTTGATCCCCAGTGCTGTGCATACCGTTTTCATCACCTTCCCTGTAAAGTGGGTACCTTAGTCACTGTCAATGAAACACGGAAGTCCCCATCGGGGAATGATTTCAGTTAGCAATATTTTAGTCACATCAGCTGTGGTGGCCTTGGCCGATGACAATTCCTCTCCAAGGCACAGATCTCCCGGCATCCTCATCGCCCGTCCTGTCAGCATTTCAAAAGGAGATAAGGAATGTGAGTTAGTAGGACTGGCTCTCAGACATAAGAACCGCTGGTAAGCTGGTGACCCAGTCTTTCCCTGTAAGAGAAAACATCTGTTTGGTTAGTTTGTTTTTAATGGTTCGGTTAGCGCTCTCTACTAGTCCCGAACTCTGGGGATGGTAGGGACAGTGAAATTTCTGTTTGATCCCCAGTGCTGTGCATACCGTTTTCATCACCTTCCCTGTAAAGTGGGTACCTTAGTCACTGTCAATGAAACACGGAAGTCCCCATCGGGGAATGATTTCAGTTAGCAATATTTTAGTCACATCAGCTGTGGTGGCCTTGGCCACTGGGAAAGCTTCTACCCACTTAGTAAAGTGATCCACGATCACCAAAACATATTCTTTCCCTCTGCACCTTGGCAGGGGCCCAATGAAATCCATCTGTAATTGTGTGAAGGGCTATGTGGGTCTTGGCCGATGTCACATTCTCATTTTCACTGTGGGAGCAGAATTACATTGAGCACGTTACACACTTCCTCACATAATCATGCACGTTCGCATTAAACTTAGGATGCCACCAGGTGTTGGACATCCGGTGGGCCACCCTCCGTGCCCCATCATGTCCCAACATGAGATACACCTGTATCATAGTTCCCATCAGCACATTTGGTAACACTAACACGTTCCCCGGGACTTTCCAAGAGTTATCACACCGTTTGCCCCCATTATCCATCCATCACCACTTCTCTGCCCTTGGTGCAGCATGTTGGATGGCCTGTAATTCAAAAAAGTTTGGGGTTTTTATGAGAGGCTGTGTTGCAGCAACCAATTGCGTCTCTTTACCTTCCACTGCTGTTTGTTTGGCTAGTTCGTCTGCCCTTTGGTTCCCCTTACTATGGGGCCCTGTCCCTTTTGTGTGGGCCTTCACTTTTATCATCATTACTTTGGTAGGTTTCTGCATGGAATAAAGAAAAAGTTATTCATTAGTTTCCCATAATACAAGGACTAGAGGACATGAAATGAAATTAATGGGTAGCAGGTTTAAAACTAATAAGCGAAAGTTCTTCACACAGCGCACAGTCAACCTGTGGAACTCCTTGCCACAGGAGGCTGTGAAGGCTAGGACTAATAGAGTTTAAGGAGAAGCTAGATAAATTCATGGAGGTTAGAGGTCCATAAAAGGTTATTAGCCAGGGGGTAGGAATGGTGTCCCTGGCCTCTGTTTGTGGAAGGCTGGAGATGGATGGCACGAGACAAAGCGCTTGATCATTGTCTTCGGTCCACCCCCTCCAGGGCACGTGGCACTGGTCACTGTCGGCAGACAGGCTACTGGGCTAGATGGACCTTTGGTCTGACCCAGTACGGCCGTTCTTATGTGGAGTTTCTTCACTATCCCCCCATTTTGTATTGAGGATCCTGCACTAATCAGGAATCCCCGATTTGCCCACAAGTTAATGTAATCATGTACAACTCCAAACGCATATCTAGAATCCGTATTGATATTTACAGCATGCCCTTCCACAGCTTCACATGTGGCAACTAACGTCTGTAACTTTGCTACTTCCACAGATGCCCCAGGTATGCTGCCGTGCACCACCAACCACCTATCTTGGGCACAAACAGCCCATCCTGTGTGTCGCTTGCTGTCCCCGTAGGAGGAGGAACCATCCAGGTATCGGCAAGGGGCACCAGGTATCTCAGTTTGTTTTACCAATGGAGGGTCTGTGGGCGCCTCCTTAACGCAACAACGATGCGGGTGCCCCTCATCCAGGGTAGGCATGAGGGTGGCAGGGTTTTGTGATGACACTTGCTGCAAATGTACCAAAAGCATCAGCAAGCTCGTTTCCCATTGTATCCATCTTGCCACATGGACTGCTGAGGATTTCTTCCCTGATAAAATAGCAAGGACAGCATGAGGTACAACAACATTTACATCCTACGCACCAATAAGTGGTGATGCCGGACTTAGGGCCATAGAGGTTCCTTCCACTGCCTGGAGGCATGGTGGCATTGCTCGAGCGACAGCATCTCGTTTAGAAGAGTAGTATGCTACTGGGCGCTGTTTGTCCCCATGTTTTTGCGTTAACACTGCTGACATATGTCCCTCACTGACGTGTGTACAATGTAAGAGGCATTAGTGGGTGAGAGTCACAACCCTGGGGCAGTGCTTAGCCTCTGTTTCAACGTGGTGAATGCCTGCTTGCCTTTGGGTGTCCATTCAATTGCCTCATGTGATCCACCAGCCCCCTTCAGGAGGTCATTAATAAGCTGGACAATCTTTGAATAATTTGGGATTTGAGTTTTGCAAAAATTTAAATGGCCCCAGCAATTTCCTCACTCCCCTGACTGTGGTCTGTCGTGAGTAGGCTATAATAGCTTTAGTGCAATCAACAGTTTGATGCTTGTGCCCTTTAGATATTAGATACCCCAGATACAATGCTTCCTCTTTTGCGATCTGGGCTTTTTTAGCATTACATTTTACCCTGCTGTCTGCCAAGTGTGTGTTGTAAGCAAAACTCGTGAAGTCATTCTGCCGCTCTACTCTGCACTAGTTAGGCCTCAGCTGGAGTACTGTGTCCAGTTCTGGGCACCACATTTCAAGAAAGATGTGGAGAAATTGGAAAGGGTACAGAGAAGAGCGACAAGAATGATTAAAGGTTTAGAGAACATGACCTATGAAGCCAGGCTTCATGAACTGGGCTTGTTTAATTTGGAAAAAAGAAGATTAAGGGGGACATGATAGCAAGGGTACAGAGAAGAGCGACAAGGATGATTAAAGGTTTAGAGAACATGACCTATGAAGCCAGGCTTCATGAACTGGGCTTGTTTAGTTTGGAAAAAAGAAGATTAAGGGGGGACATGATAGCGGTTTTCAAATATCTAAAAGGGTGTCACAAGGAGGAAGGAGAAAATTTGTTTCTCTTGGTTTCTGAGGACAGGACAAGGAGTAATGGGCTTAAAGTGAAGCAGGGGAGATTTCGATTGGACATTAGGAAAAAATTCCTAACTGTCAGGGTGGTCAAATATTGGAATAAATTGCCAAGGGAGGTGGTGGAATCTCCCTCTCTGGAGATATTTAAGAACAGGTTAGATAGACATCTGTCAGGGATGGTGTAGACGGAGCTTGATCCTGCCTTGAGGGCGGGGGGCTGGACTCTATGACCTCTCGAGGTCCCTTCCAGTCCTATTATTCTATGATTCTAAGTGCTGCAGGATCACTTCTAAATCTTTCATATGTGTTTGGCGATTTGGTGAGGAGATAGTCAACATACTGTAGAACACAGGAAGCCATGTCTGGCAGCTTTGCCAGCACATTAGCGAATGCTCTATGAAACAAAGTAGGTGAGTTATGAAACCCCTGGTTCAGGTGAGTAAAGGTGTATTGCTTCCCTTTAACTGTAAATGCAAACCCAAATTGTCTGTCAGGGTGCACAGGAACAGACCAAAAGCCATTGCTAATGTCCAAAGCCAAAAGCACTGCGTGATCACTAGGTACAGTAGAAAGAATAGTACTAGGGCCAGCAACTAGGGGGGGGTGAGCCTGTCAGCGTGCATGTTAATATTCCGATAATCAATGGTGAGCTGCCACAATCCATCTGGCTTTTTAACTGGCCAGACAGGTGAGTTACACCGTGACTGTTTCTTTTACAACCCCCCTCTTTATGAAATCTGACTGTTTTCTACTGCTGTCAGGGCCTCCAGTTTGATTGGATAGGGACGTGCAGGAGGGGGAGGGTTCCCTGTAATCACCACTGGTGGGACATTCATCGAGCCACAGTCAAGTTTGTCGGCTGCCCACACTCCTTTCAGTCCCAGCAGCTCAGGAAGCTCCTGCACAGCACGCATGCTCACCCAGAGAAGACTAGATCAGAGGCACGTTAGCACTAAACTTTTGAGATGGTATTTGCAAGGAAGGTGATCACCCAAATTCAAATGACATCCTAGTTCTTGTAACATGTCTATTTCCATTATTGTACCTTCAGTTTGTTTTGGTGCATAATAAAATCTCTCCATCCAAAAACGTTCTTCTGTTTCAGTCAAAATGGGTTTTGTCAGATGTGCCTTTATACTTGTGCCTCCCAGCCCTGTCAAAGTAGTAAACTTAGAAGTTAAAGGTAGCCCTGGAATATCAGTAATAGATACAAAGGCTCCTGTATCTATAAGGATTTTACACGACATGCCCCCAACCCTAGCTTTTAGATACGGGCGTGCAGATAATCCATGCTGACCCACTGCAAAGGGGGCTGAAAGCCCCTAATTGTTAGAGAAGAAACAGGCCACACAGGAGCGGATGGGGTAAACGGACCTGCTTTATTGCCTATGCACCTTTACCTCGGACATTAACACAATGTCCGAGTGGCAACAACCTGGTGACGATCACACCCTTTTCTCTATTTCAGTATGTTAATTCACATGTCTATCACTACTTTTCCTAAACCTTATTTAGTAATATTAATATTCATTTTATGGAAGTTAACAAGCAAATAATGAATACAGTTATACCCGCCCTTAATTACTGTTTACAGAATTTCTAATTAAATCACATTCCTATGCCACAAACTAACAGGTTACAGAGATTACAAGGAATTTGACCCTGAAGATGTTATGCAGAGCCAATGAGGATAAGCAAAAGGCACAACAAAGTAGAGCAGCTGCATGCTTAGCTATTTTTCTAGGCTGCAAAATGAAGGGAAAGCGCATGTAAATCCTTACCGCCATCCCAGACCTGTATTCAGACCCATATTCATTTTACATATCCCAACACTAATCAGAGGATTTTTTTTTTCATGGAGTTAAAGATTTGTATTACTTGTTCTCGAGGGGGTCCTTGCCCTTGTTGCTGGGGCAATTCTTGGACCAATGCCCTATTTGGTTACATTTTAAACAATCAGCTTTGCCAACCCCCTTTTATAATGTTCCTTTATATTATGGCCCGGTATTCTACAAGTACTGCAATTACCTCCACCTAAATTTGCTGCTTTAACTGCAGTAACAAAGCTATCTCCCATACTCCTGTTTAATTTCTCTTTTTAAACCCCATATACCAACAGGCAACTGTAGTAAGGTAATCCCACTTCTGGGTCTCAGTATCCTGCTCAGTCCTTAATCTGGCAGTCTCAGTCCTGCACTATTAGCCCTTGGCAGGGTTTGAGCTCTAGTCCCTCAGCTACAAAGGGAATTGGGGCCAGTGCCCCAGGGTCAGCCTGGGCTGCAAAAACAGTCCTCTCCAGCTCTCAGCTGGGCTCTCAGGCTGCCAGGAAAAGGAAGCACGTCACGTCACGTCACGTCACGTCACGTCACGTCACGTCAATCTCTCTCTCCCCCTCCCTTGAAGGAGGGCTTCCTTTTAAAAGGCTCTAGGGCAGCCTCAGGTGAGATCAGCTGGCCCTGATTGATTTACAGCAGCCCTATCTCCTTTGCTCCTGATTAAGCAGGGTTGTTGCTGCCTTTTAGAGTTGCCTTTCTCTCTAACTATTGTAGTCCTCCAGCCTGACCCCATCACACAACAGAATATGGATGTTTAGTCAGGTAACCATCACACATTGGATACCCTTGTTTCAATGCCCTGTCATACCAAGACAGGGCAGATTTTAAACCCAACAGCCTTACATTTGTACTAAGGACATCCTCCTCTTCTGATCGATGTCTTGGCTTGTACAGAGACAGAAAAGGCTTAGCTCTTTCAAAGACAAAAGCCACTCTCACAACCTCAGACCATTTATTACTGGCATCCCCTTCCAGACTAGAGTACTGGTTTCTTTCCCCTTAGATCTTTATCCTAGAGATCACAAGGGACAATCACGAGGCTTTACTGTTTCAACATTCACACTTAATTTGCCACATAGCCAGAATATCTCAGTAGGAAAACCAGCAAACTTACTACTACAGCAATTATAAGAGCAATAGTTACACACTTTTGATACCACAGATCACTATATAACTTCATCAAACACATCGGGGCTACGTCTACACTGGCACCCTTTTCCGGAAATGCTTAAAATGGAACAGTTTTTCCGTTATAAGTATTTCCGGAAAAGCGCGTCTACATTGGCAGGATGCTTTTCCAGAAAAGCACTTTTTCTCCAATGTAGACGCGCTTTTCCACAAAAAAGCCCCAATCGTCATTTTCGCGATCGGGGCTTTTTTGCGGAAAAGACTACTGTGCTGTCTGCACTGGCCCTTTTCTGGAACAGTTTTTCCGGAACAGGACTTTTGCCTGAATGGGAGCAGCATAGTTTTTCCAGAAAGACAATGACGATTTTACATTAGATCATCATTGCTTTTCTGGAAAAAGCAAGTGGCCAGTGTAGACGCTCGCAGCTTATAGTTTTTCGGAAAAAATTGGCCAGTGTAGACACAGCCCATCTGTCTTTTTTCTTTGCCCAAATCCACTAATCTCCAAGGTTTGAAATGCAGTTTTGTTTACAGACCAATTGCAATTCATTTAAATCAAATCTCAGACCGCAATGCTCAATCAGTGGATCCATCTGTTTCTCAATTTATTCAGTCTGGGCTCTTTTAATTATAATTAAGGCGCCAAAATTGTTGCCTAAGGGCTCCTGTGACGGACCGGGCCATGTCTGGGCACAGCTAAGGGCATCCGCTCAGGGCAAATTGCTCAAATCCGGGGCTCCTTACAGTCCCCCTGACTGGCGACCTCTCCAAACAGGCCACAAACCAGTCCCACAGAGC